GAAGACATGGAACATGGAGTAAACTGGAAACAACTTTTGATTTTTTTTGGAGTAACCCCTGGAAAACAACCTTGAAGACATGGAACATGGAGTAAACTGGAAACAACTTTTGATTTTTTTTGGAGTAAACCCTGGAAAACAACCTTGAAGACATGGAACATGGAGTAAACTGGAAACAACTGTTGATTTTTTTTGGAGTAAACCCTGGAAAACAACCTTGAAGACATGGAACATGGAGTAAACTGGAAACAACTGTTGAAAACTTTTGGAGTAAACCCTGGAAATGGAGTAAACCCGGTAAAAAAAACACCTGAAAACAATGGAAAATGGAGTAAAATGGCAAACACTTTCGGAGTAAACCCTGGAAATGAAGTAAACGAGCAAACCCTGGCAAAGGGAAAAACACCTTGAACCCACCACCCATCTGAAGTTACCATTCTCCTTCTCGGCTGCCGCGCCAAGGACCTTCTCATGGTTGACCTTCGGGCGGAACATTCGGGCGAGGAAATCCGCCGGAGACATGTCAAATCTCTGGCAGCAGCCCATTGATCATCAACGCGGAAGTTGAAAGCGCACAAACCCCTTTCGGAACCTCAGAGAAACAGAGCCTGTGTACAAACCCGTGTTTTGCCAGCCGGCGAGTCTTTGATTTTCTCCTCAGGGGAACAGGGAAGCATAAATGATACGGTGAGGGTCACCTTCCGACAATTCTATGTTTAGGCTGTGTGCGGGGACTGGGGAGATGTCTGGAAACATCAACTCAACCTTTTTGTTGGTACTCCATTTGAAAGGGAACCCCTCCCAAAAAGGAGCAGGATGTCCTCCACGGGTCTGGGTTTACCTCAGGCCTCAGGCCTTCCAGGTTTGGAGGTCAACCAGCCAAGCAGGCATTTCCTTCTCCAGCAGTGAGTTGGAGCAACGTCTTCCTCCTTTTTGCACTGGCTCCAACTGAGTCAGTCATGCTCAAAATTACCCCTCCTGGTGTCTTGCAGGGGTGCCCTCGCCTGCCCCCAGAACAAAAAGTTCAAGTTGATCAGGCGGCCACTTGGGAGGTGGTGACAAGGCAAACCCTTGGGTGAGAACCATTTGAACGGTCATGTCCTCATTACTTCGTTAAAACCCTTGTCGACCTCTTGGTAATCAAAAGGACTATGCTAATCCTGAAGCCCCTTCAAAACAAAAACCAGCTCGGGTGACTGGGAGGATGTCTTAGCAACAGGATACCAGGTTTTACTTTTGACCAGGGCTTCCACAACAAGTTACACCAAACAAGCGATTTGGGTGTCTTTTGTTCAGGGTGCCCATATTTGGTGGATGTTAAAGGGAAATCAAAAGGAACAACACCATTGCGGTGTGGTCCCCTTATTAAAAAACAAAAAGCAAACAAATGCAGATTCTGGCGCCTACCCTACACTATAAGATAATTTTGGAGAAGGCCCCACCGAGGTTACCTTCTGAAACCACAAGTGCCCAGAGCAACACTCAAAAGTATCAATCCGCAGCGAGCAGACCGTCTTGACCCTCCGATGGATCGGACTTGCGTTTGCCTCGGGCAGAGCAAGGTCCGACCTGTGTGAGCACGCACCTGCGGCACTCGAGTCAGCCCAGCACGTGGACAAGCTCTACCCAGACTTGCGCGTGTTCGGCTTGGACGGAGTACCGCAGCGCCAGGCGAAGTGGTGCCCGATTCCGGTCGAACGCAGCCTTCCAGACGAAGCAGTGCTGCAGGTTTGTGGCAACAAACCCGGAGGAACTTCTTGTAGTCTGGCTCTTGTCCATCGCAGGTGTAGCTGTGCAGCTGCGTGAAAGCGCGCTCGAAGCTATCCAGTTTTCGTTGCTCTTGCAAGAGGCATCGGAACACCGCAAACATCGTGGCCAATCATTGGACATCCACACTCCCAGCACTGGAATGACTCTTTCTTGTTTGCTATCACCCCCTGGTCCAACAACAGCTTCCTAGCCAGAAAGAGGTCACAACCTGGCGCCGTTGGAGGTCTGGGTGCGGCCGGCCCCTTGAAACAGCACGCCACCAAAAAGGAACTCATTGAGACAACAACGTTTGACAAATCCAAAGTTCCAGGGGTAGCTTCCCCCCTTCTTTGCAGGAAACACCCAGAGGAAGAAAACGGTTTTTGTAAAAAGAGAGGGTTGAAACGAATGGAACTCCAGCCCAATCAATCAATCAATCAATCAATCAATCAATCAATCAATCAATCAATCAAATCAATCACATCACATCACATCACATCACATCACATCACATCACATCACATCACATCACATCACATCACATCACATCACATCACATCACATCACATCAATCAATCAAATCAATCCAATCAATCGAATCAATCCAATCAAATCAATCAAATCAATCAAATCAATCAAATCAAGTCAAATCAAGTCAAATCAAAATCAAATGAATCAAATGAATCAAATCAATCAAATCAATCAAATCAGTCAAATCAAATCAATCAAATCAATCAAATCAATCAAATCAATCAAATCAATCAAATCAATCAAATCAAGTCAAATCAAAACAATCAAAACAATCAAATCAGTCAAATCAAGTCAAATCAAGTCAAATCAAGTCAAATCAAAACAATCAAATCAATCAAATCAATCAAATCAGTCAACTAAATCAAATCGATCAAATCAAATCAAATAAATAAATAAACAAAAAAAAAAAAAAAAAAAAATCAATCAATCAATCAATCAAATCAAATCAAATCAAATCCAATCAACTCAATCAATCAATCAATCAAATCAAATCAAATCAAATCAAATCAAATCCAATCAATCAATCAATCAATCAATCAAAGCAAATCAATCAATCAATCAAAGCAAATCAATCAATCAATCAATCAAATCAAATCAAATCAAATCAAATCAATCAATCAATCAATCAATCAATCAATCATTCAACTCAATCAATCAAATCCATTCAAATCAATCAATCAAAACAAATCAAATTTAATGTAATCAAATTCCTCAATCAATCCATATCCATGAACATGGAGGGGTCAACAAAGCTTGCAAGACTCCCACAACCCGACCAGACAGGGAAGGGGCAGGGACAAGCTGGCAAAGCCGCGCTCACTTTTGGCTTAAGAGACGTGTCTTTCTCTTCAACATCGGCGCCCTTTCCGCCCAGTCAGAAAAACAGCGAGCTCTCTTTTGGGATTGAAAGGGAACCAAAAGGAAACATTAATTGAGGGAAACCTGCCATCTTGGACCAATTTTGGGGAGTCTCTTTTGGAGGGTGTGCATCTAGGAAAAAGGGCCCAAACCAAGGCATCTGCATGAACATCCCCTTAGGACAGAAATCTGCATGGGTCGTGGTCGCTTCACCCAACTCGCTTGGCAACCAAACACAAAAAGTGACCCTTAGCTTGGTTGTTATCAATGAAGAGTTGCTCAATCCTAGTGCATGATCCTTATTTGAGGGCAAAACGGATGTGGTCGGGTAGACTGTGTCTGTTTGGGGCTTGTGTTGAAGCGGAACCAATGGGAAACCTTCATTTGTTAGGCTTCCCTAGTGTGAGCCCCGCCCCGCCCTGCTGTGTCGCCGAGCGACTGCGTTCACCTGCCGCAACTTCCACTCGATCCGGCCCAAGGCGTAGGGAGGGTACCTGGGCTGCACAGGATGGCGGCAGGAAGCAATCACATCTCGACTCCACGAGGGGGGGGAGGGTCGCAAAATAGTGGTCCCTGAATGGTTGGTGCCATTCTTGTTGGCGTCCTTTTGGTTTCCTTTCAAATTTCCCTGCAAATACCAGTCAAACGGGGGTCCAGCATTGACTTGGAGAAACGTCGCATGCATCTCGGTAATTAAATGAGCGGGACAACCCAAAAAAGGGTTGTCTTGCTCATTTGGGCGCCAACAAAAAAAATATCGCTAAAACGTAAATTTAAGAGTAACAACACTGCTAATAATCATTCCCCGCCCTGAAATAAGGGTTGGCCCACGAAGCAGCATTCATCATGGGATTTCGTGCAAGCGTTGGGGAGGTTGCTATGATTTGCACTTCTACACGTAGCTACTTCCCACTTTGAACATCATGAAATGCTGCAAGGAGCATCTTCCATTCTTAGCCAAAAAAAAAACACGAGGCTTAGCTGCGTTCTCAGGTAAATCAAAGCCAAACAGGTAGGTACCATATCTGGAGTCTCCATGAACCTTTGGACTGACGTGGTGTCGGTATCCAAGAGAAAGGGATCAGCAGGAGCCTCCCTATGCTTGATTCGGGTCAGAAGGAGACTCCCTTTTTGGTACTATGCAATGGATTGATGGCAAATGGGCGCTGTGTCCAGGATAAAGAGGACATAAGTGAACTTACCTTCCGTGCTGTTGGCCACATCATTCTCAGCCAGGGCTTAGCCAACAGTTTTGCGGTTCTGGTGACCAGCTCTGGTCCCGGTGATTGCCTGGCTGCTGGGTCTCGCTGGCTGGTTTCCTTACATTAGTCAATTGACAGGTACTCATCCGAGCCCCCAAACCCATCGAGTTGGACAACTTTCCTCAGAGCATAGCTCGAAGCACCTGCTTTACAGGAAGATGCTCTAAATCAGCTGAAAAAGATCAGCCCAAGCCTCAACCTGCCGAACCAAAACCCAAGCCTGAACCAACACAAACACCCTCACCAAACCTATTTCAAGTTGACGACCAAACCCTGCATCCATCAAACCCTGCAGGTTCCGGCCCGCCCGTACCGACCCAGGCGCACCACACGTAGGCAGGCGGAATCCCACTCCTCACCAAACTCGCCACTTTCAACACGGAGAGAGGAACAGACGGCCCCATCCCTGAACAACTGGTGAACCTGCAAGCCTACAAATAGGGGGGTTGGGTATGTCTTTCTTTGTTCGTCTATTTTGTTCAAGGGCACAAACGCAAGATGTTGATCAAGCCTTGACCCAGAACCAGACAAAGGCCTTATCTGGTCTTCTTTCGCCGCATGCTCCAGTCCTAGGTCTTGTCGATTCCCTAGCCATAGGGGCCTTGTTCGGTCTTATTTGGTTTTACCTGACCTCATCTCTTTGTGTCTCACAACAAATTTTGTTGTGTCTCACAACAAATTTGTTGTGTCTCACAACAAATTTGTTGTGTCTCACAACAAATTTGGGCCCTGCGCCTTGAGCCCAAGCTTGGGGGCAGGTCTTTCGGGCCTTTTGGGTGAGTGCTCCGGATGAATCGCAGTTTCTGAACCTTCACAAGGCATTCTGGTATATCCTGGCGAGGCGACGGGAGTGCCAAGCTGAGCTTCATCCAACTTCTAAAAAGCAAACACACTGAGCAGCGCCCACATATGGTGTGGGTCAAAACCCTGTACCCCCCCTGAACATCCCAATCCCCACTAAAATAGTCTAAAATGGGTACCATTGGTTTTGAACCATGGCCATATGACAACCCATAAGATTTGGTCCACAAAGATGGCCCCCAAAAAACCTCACGTACAACTAAAAGCCTTACCCTTTCTCTCATGCCACCTGTGCGGAGGTGCCTGGAAAATCAACTGCCTCTTGGAGGGACCCCCTGTCAGCTTCCATGTAGATGGAAGGAACAAAACTTCCACAATTCCCAGAAATGCCGGATCGTAGACCTCCTCGCCCCCCTACCAAAATGGGCCAAAACTCGAGTTGCCCAAGCATCCCAACCTGCGCTTCCCGAAAGGGTGCCCTGCCAGCTTTCCCAACATGCCGAGCTTTCCCTTACAGGCAGAAGCGACCTCAAATGATGGTTGAACACCTCCGAAAAAGTTCACAAAATAGACACCTCAACAAGCTGGGAGCTAAACAGGGGCTCCAGCAAGCTACCCAAAATGATCCTTTGACAAAAACAAAATCCATTGCCTTATCAATATCAATAAGCCATCCACGGATTTTGTACCCATCCACCTTATGGTCCATTTCGCACCCAGCAAAGCGGACCTCCAAGCCCCTCCTGAAACGGACCAGCGGCCCTTTCGCCAGTTGCAGCCTTGCAGGCAAACGGCATGGTGCACGTCATAAAACCGCCCTACCCCCAAACCCACCAACCTCTCAATCCGGTTTTGGTCTTTCTTGGTCTTCCCTGACGCGTTTCGACGTTTGTTAGGTCTGGGAGGACATGTTTTTGCCTTTGCATACGTTAAAGATCAACCTGGCTGGCAACTCAGTCGACACTTTACCAGTGGCAATACGGAAGCAAAGGCCACTTCCGGCTTGCCTCAATCCACAGGCGTTTTGTTGTGCGGTTTCTTGCCCATCCGAATCCTCAAGTTTGTCATCCAAAACGAAACAGAACTTGTTATCTACCACCAAAATGGTTTTCCAAAAAACAAGTTTGAAGTCCACGAACTCGGGGAGTGAGGTGGGGATTCGCTTGGTATGGCCACGTATGTGCCACCAAAAAAAACTCTCCCTATGGTGGCGTTCACGGATCTTCCCTTTCGATCGCACTCGCCACACAATGCAGGTGACCTGCGCAAATGATTGCGGTTTTGTTCAAGGGCGGTTTCCCTCATTACCTATGCAGGTGGAGTCATCATCCTAACCGTGATCCCCCCCAATTTTGGGATCAAGTGCCCCAATTAACCCCTTTGAACACGAAACAAAAAGCTTGCCAAGAAGACCGGTTCGCATTGCTATCACTGAAAGGCAATTCCAGGTTTGCAACACCCATGGAAGCTAGAGTCATAATCAAAGCCTGGTGTTGACATGGTCTACCCAGAACCATGTAAAGAAAGCAAAGCGGCGAAGGCACCCAATCATGGGCTTTGCTCCCTTGCCAACCGTCATCTACGCACCCTGGTTTTGATTGTCGCTCACTTGAAGCAGCTTCTGTTGACCCCCCTGCCCCCACAACCCTTCAATCCTTCGACCGTTGGTTCGGCTATGGATGGATAAAATCCACCAGTAAGAATCAGGGTCGCTGGATTTCCCCCAATCAAAAGTTGATTATTTTACTGGTGGTTTCTATTGAAGCGATCGCCACTTTTGCAGGTTCCAAAGATCAAAAGGGAAATGGAGGACACCCCGAGAATGGATGACCAGCAAAAAAGGATGACACCCTGAATGATGGCACACATCACCAACCAGGTGCCGATCGCCGTGGATTCACTGCGCAGGTACTGCAAGCGCCTAAATATTTAGAATGGGGATTTGGGTTACTGTAAAAAACATATTTAGTCCTCATTGTCGATCTTTCAACCTTGCAACCCTTCATTGCCAAGATAGCCACAACTATCCTCATGCATATCATTCTTCAACACCTTTACGGGGTGTTTTAAGATCAAGGGAACCCTAGTTGGTTGGTTCTGAAAGGAAAGCAAAAGGAACACCTCCAAATTGCAGGGGTCCAACCGTAAAAAAACAAACCCGATATAAATGTCTTGTCCTTTACCTGTGAAACCACTCGGCTCCCGCAAAAAACAAATCTGGGTTTCTTGGCCACGGCTCCGGCAAGTACGCCTTCACCTGTCCACTGGAAGTGGCCATTGCCGAGTTTGGGTCGGGCTCAAGGGATTTGGGTTGGGTTGGGGGGGCGGGGGTGGGGTGGGGTGGGGTGGGGTGGGGAGTGTGCGGTGGGGGTTGGGTTATAGGATGTTATAGGTCTAACGCAGAGTTTGCCTTACCAAAACATATGCTGGAGACACACTCGAAAGGCCCCAACCCCAAACAAAACAGCTTTGATTCTGGTCTATAGCCCGCTCAAGCCTCCCTCAAAAAAGGACATTGATTCGACACTACATATGAATCATTGGTGAATATGACTTGGAAGGCACCCGGACAGGGGGGCGGGTCTAAGGGCAGTCACAAGGTCGTCGAAGGTGAAACTGTGGCACAGGGTCAGAAGGGACACCACTTGTTCCCTCCAACAGAACAGGAAAGTAGTCAGGCCAGTTCAAGAATTGCCACATGGAAAATGAGCAGAAACCTATACACAAGATTCTAGGCCTTGGCCGGCCGAATGGCTGCACAAACACCAGACCAAGTTGTGTTCCTATGTGTTCTGTGATCAACACGCAGTACGGCATTGTCATTTGAGGTTTGGTCAATAATTATTGATTTCTCAAGGGATTCATTTGGGAACATGAGGCACTCACGAAACTTCCCGCAAAAACACGGGGGCTCCGGCGCGCCCCACCATGGCAGGAACACAATGCCTTGCTTCAACGAGATCCCATGTCAGGCCTATTTCCAACCTGTCTGAAGCGAGCGCCCGAAAAAAGCCTAGCTTTTGCATACCAAGGGGGCAACCGGATGTTCAGCCCTCTCGGGGTAAAGCCTTAAAAGCCTTAAAAGCAGCTTGCAACGAAGAGGGTGGTGTGTCTTCCCATGGCCGGGCTTTTGAGACTGGCCTCATTATTTGACCAGATGCACCCCTAGCTGGCAGGTGACAAGGGAAAACTGGATTCTCTGACTTTCACAACCCCCACGAACAATCAAAACAATGACCCCGGTGAGATATGAATACATCCATGGCCTGATTCTTTTCGGGAATAACTGGGGTTGACACCAGAACCATGGATGTCACTTACATTCCTCACGTTGTCCCAGAATCCAACGCAACAAAAGCAAGGTGTTGGCGCGTGCTCGCCTCATCCGGGAACTCCTTGCTGGCGAGCTCACTGCCATAGTCCTCATGAGCCGCATGGCCAGCCCAGCTAATGTTGACCCCATATCAATCAACCCCGGCCTACTAATAGGGAGGTGTCCATAGGTTTAGTGGGAATCATCAGTTTTGGAGGGGAACACCCCCCTAATAAACCAGGGTTGACTTATATAAAGTCAACATTATCATGCAGGCAACAACCAATGGGGGGTTTTCCGTCAGCTTCCCTTTTCCTGAAGCTGATCTCTGCAGAAAGTATGGGCTTGTGGGGCAGCTTCGAGAAGCGAAGGAATATCTCCAAAGGTCTCCAAATGGCCATGGGTCAAAATCCAAATACCCCCCAGTGAACATCCGATTCAATCCAACCACTGAAATAGACTAAAATGGGTGGTGAATTCACCTTCCCCAAAATGGTACCATTGGTTTTGACCCACAGCCAAATAGATAATGTCTCCAGTGTCTTCGTTGAAGTTCCCAGCAATCAGAAGAGCAAGGTGGTAGCTCATGGGCTCCCGTGCCGAGGATAGATCAAACAGGCGTTTCACTGTAGAAAGTATGATGCAGCGTCCAGCACACAGGAATAAAGTGCTGCCTTCCGGTCATCGACTCTGATCTGCTGAAGACACAGAATGTCGATGTCCTTTGCGCTCATCACTTCAATTTTGTTGCTGATGCAATCAAGGTTCCAAGTTCCGACCTTGTATTGATCGAAGTTGGACTTCGATTCGTCCCCGTTCGTCAGAAATGCGCTCCGTCATCGAATATGCTCGTGTCCAAACGTTCAGCGCTCGCAGTGCGGGTTCTCTCTGACTCTCTTCCTAGCAACTGTAACTCAATTGTTGGAATTGTCAGGAAGTTTCGCTTGCCTTCTTCGTGTAGCTACTGCCCACTCCTTTCCCTCGCAGCTGCGCTTCAAAATTCGGGAAGTTGTCAGGCTCCACTAGAGGAGGTGGCGGTGTTTGGACTTGCTGCAACATCTATTGGGTTGGCCTCAGCCAATAACCCTTCGTTCATAACCGAAGTACATGGGAATGCCGCATACCGTAGGGGCGTTTTGCTCTGCACGATACATTGAGTCCCATCCCAGCGAGTTCTCTTCGAAGATTCCAGTTCAAAGCTAGTAAAAGATCATCGATGTCTTCTTGTATGAAATAAGATGGGAGATTGAAATAATCAACTTGGGGGTGCAATTCTGACAAAGCGAACCCTTGCAAGGAGCCTGTCTGGTTGGAAAATGAGGTTTCACAATCCGCGGAACTATCGCGGAGGACTTTTCCATGGAACCACAGGTTTCCTGCCCTCTATACCTCAATGCAAGGATGTTGCAGTTTGGACACAGGACATGTAGATTGTTCTGTTGTCCCGTGTCTGCTTAAAACACTTCCTTGTTCCTAGTTGATGTTGATTTCAGGGCAAAACTCCCAACCAGATCTCTGGATATCACCTCACTTCCTGAGTGGAGCCTGAAAAAGTCCAAACTTTTGTTTGCCACTAAAATGGCCAAGCCCCCAAAAGTGAGTAAAGTTCAGGAAGAACGTGGGTCCCTCTTTTGCTTGTCATACTCATGGATCATGCCAATTCTGAAGCCAAGCAAGCCATCGAGTCCACTTGTTACATCTGGTGCTGTGGAAGATTGCGAAATTCCATCCCTCTTCTGGCTTCTTGGTTTGGCTCTCAAGCTGCAGTTTGCTGGATTGAAAGGGCCCGACAGAAAGATGAGCAGTTTGGATGGACCCCCTTCTGGCGCTGAAATGGCCATGGCCCATGGCCCCTTCTCACCCATCCGTGGCTCATGGCTCTCCTTTGACAAAAGACGACACAAAAAAAACAAACAAACTGGCAACCCACGGACACGGCCCTTGATAAGTGTGTCTGTTCTCAAAGGACAATAAAGGATGCCAGGGAATTATGTTCACTAGGGAACGCCCTGACAAAAGCTTGGTGGAAATAAATCCTCATGTAAACGTCCCCCTTTGAAAATCAGATCCACCTCTTGAAGCGCTAGCACCAAACTCTGTTGAGGCAGCTTCGGGATGCTGTGCAGCAGTCAAAGCTCTCTCGGATATCTCCATGCTTACCTCGAGAGCATCTCTCACAAATCACTACAAACGGGTGTAAATTCTAATAGGGGACCCCTTTGAACATCAAACTCCGGCAGGTCCCGATTCATGTCCACCAACCACTTATGAGGTGGTTCCAAATCCTAAAATCCATAGTCAAACGCCATTAAAAGTAGGGAACACTGAGAAATGCTGACCCCTGATTGGAAGAAAGACAATCCCACTAACAAAGGACACCCCTGAGTAATAACTGGAGGGGTCAACATTGAGCAATTGTTTTGGACTTAGGAGTGGAAGAGTCTCACGTATGGGGCACGTCGTGTGCTCAATAACTGGGGAGTAATTGTCTGGACAATCTTGTGAGAGAGTCGTACTTCTTGTGCTCCCGGATTCACCAGCCCGGCCCATCAATACAAAGGGCGCTTCTTGACCTCGCTGACATGATTTAACCAAGGGGTTGGATTGGAATCGTTCCGGTCTCTTGAATACGCAATTGAGGGTTCGCCTGGACATACGTTTTTACTAAGCAGGGGCACCTAGTAGATTCAGAGGGGAAATATGGGATTCCCTCACTTTTTGGCCCCCAATTGATCCTGCAGGATTTATTGGAGGCCCACATCAGTATGGGTGCTAAATAGGGGGTCTGAAAAAAAACATCCCCATCCCCGTTTTGTTTCCCATTTTATTAGGATGAATTAAGCAAATACGGGCTATTGGGCACCCAGGTATTCAAGGGTCAGCATCCTAAGCCCAGGCGTTCACTCGATCCGTCTCCCATCCGTCCGTGCAGTGGTGCAGGAACCACAGCAGGCACTGTGCCTGGAACCGGCAGCGCCGCCTAGGCATCCAAAGTCCCATTTCCGGACCCCAAAAACAGGCACCCAAAAGGAACCCCAGCCAATAGGCCACCTATTGGCAAGCTGTCTGGGGAAGCTTTTCCACACTTCAGGAATCCACCCAATGCTCCTCCTGATTTACTTCAGGAAATCACACCTCCTTTCAACATGGAAGTGTTCTGCAGGTTCAACAGACAAGTTCCATCGGGTTGCTTCTGTACCGTTCTTTGGTGGGAAACCAAAAGGAAAACCATAAATTGGTTGGTCTCTAAAGCCAGACATACCCATCTTGCACAAACGAAAAACCGAATCAGTTTTCTGCGCTTCCGCTTTTCAAGAAAGTTTCAAGGAAGAATCACTCGAATCGCGGGAAAACAAAAACCGCAAACCATGCATTCTTTTGGGGGGGTCTCCTAGCGTGGATGGACAAAATATTGCACCGGCAAATGAAAGCCTATGAGTACTTGGATACACCACCTACCAGCAGTGCAGGGTGTTGTCCATGCACGGATTTTTGTGCACGGCGAAAATATGAACTGGGAGGGGCGAGGGAGGCCAGAGAAATCCTACAAAGCCATGATTTTTGGTAGGAAGCTAGTGAGGATTGAAATTGCAGCTGTTTCCCAGCTCACTGCTGACTTCTGGTGCCAACAATCAGGTATACGTATATCAGAAACCAACTACATTTGACAAACATCACCTGAGTCAGAAGGAAAACTTGGAACTGGGAGGCTGTACCCAAAACGACGGAAGATCCCCCATGAATACAGGAACACACCACTCAACTGGTGCCGATCGGCGTGGATTTGGTCCGTCCATGTATGGTTGGGGCTCTCCCTACTTGGATGTTCGGCCAACTTAGTAAGCTCTAAACAAAAATCCATCATGATGAGCTCGGTGACCTTCGGCAGGAACGTCAATGGCTTCACGTCTGGCCCCCTGCGCCGTGCTTTTGAGGATCCGCAAAAAAAGTCGCATTGAGAATACCTTCGAATGATATCTGGGTGTGTCTTTTTGTTGGGGAACCACATTGTTGGCACCTGGTTTTAAATGGAAGCCAAAAAGGAAAACCGAATCCATTTTGGGCGGGGGGATGTCCCCCTAGAAGAAGACATGCCCATATCCAGCAACCAGCAATCGCAGAAACAGGCGTGTCTGCCCATGTTTCGTGAACAGGAACAAGGGAAGCCACCAAACAAGTGGGTAAAACACAGCGGAGGCTGCATCTTGATGTGACTTCTCCAGCTCTTGACACGCTATCATGTTTCTGCCCCTCAGCAACCCGAAGATCCTACAGTATGCGTACTCCTGGCTTTTAAGGTATATAGTAAGACATTGACACGATCCCATTTCTCGGCTCTCTCTTCTCGTTTCGAGGCCATCGCAAATGTGCCACCAGCTTTGCGTCGCCCTTCGCCTCAAGGGCGCTGGCCCCCCATCTTGACTGCCACTCCTTCCTTGTTGGTTGACCACGATCCCCTGAAATTTCCCAGGCGCCAGTCTCCCAAACACTTCCTGCTGGGCATACATTCCCACGGCTTGCTCCCAGGGGCAAGCACTGCCTGGGGTCAAGGTGGGTATAAAGCCACGGCTTGTTTTGCGGGTACCCCTTGTTCAAGAAAATGAAAGAAACACGCGCGCCCATGTGGCCCGGAAAAAGAAGGATTTTTTGGCCCCCAAACTGGGCACGCACCAGCAGCAAACCTGCCTGCGTCTACAAGCAGCACAATCCGTGCTAGTTGACCTACAACCCTCCGCATGGTTGCTTTCCAATTCGCATCCTCATCCACAGAAGACGCCATTTGTTTTCTGGCTCGCGCGGCCCCATCAGGACATGCCTCAAACACATTATGAACTCATTTCTGAAGACGTTGTCCAGCACGAAGTGCGAGTGCACCCGACATCACCCGACCCCCAATTCTGAATGTTGAGGTCCTTCCCGTCACGCACATCCACTTTGAGCGGCCTTGCTCCGAAGATATCAGAAAGCGCGAGCCTTGTTTTCCACGGCTCCCATCGAACAAGACTGTTGGCTCGGTCATCCACAGATTGGAACTGCTCCAGCCAAGCCTGCCGTGGAGACAACGTGCAAAACCAAACAATATTTACACACTTTCGCTTTTGCTGCATCTATGGAAAATGGAAGCACGCGGGAATAAATGGCAAGCCCTTCGAACAAAGATATGCCTATATATATATTATGTTACATTCTCCTCCGGTAGTGGTAGCTTTGGGGGGTGCCGCCGCCCCCCCCCCCTGCCAAGGTCAACCCATTTCCCTCAGGGAAGACCCACTTGACATCCTCTGAAAGTGCGTGATTTGAGTGCGTCCATTTCGAATGTTTGGTGTTGGTGTCCTTTTTACAGCCACCAAAAAGGTGTACCCTCGAAAAATGAACCGCACCCATTTGTCTGGGTACAGAGGGACGGACTTGGAGGCGTCAGAGGATTACACAAAGAAACTGGAGGTGGGGGGGTAAATAAGATTCATTCAAAGAAACTCAACAGTCCTATCTTCCGCTCTCTTGGGGGACTCTTTGATTCTTCCAATGGTCAAAAGAACCTTCGCCCCTTTCGAGCTGCTCGAAAAGAGGCGAGGTTTATCCAAAGGGGGAATCCGCCGACCCCATGCCTGGTTCAGAATGGACCATGCTTTCGGCATGGGGGCGGTGTGTTCTGTGTTGTTTTTGTTGATATGCTTTCTATAAGTTTAATGTGAATATGATTATGTATATATATATATATATAACCTATATGTCCCTTGGGGCGGCCCTTGGGGTTTCTACGTCGGCTGGATTTCTGAATTTCTGGAATTTTGGATTTCCCCTCCCCCCCCCTCCCCCCCTCCCCCTGCCCCACCCCCCCCTCCCCCCCCCCCCCTTCCCCCCCCTCCCCCTCCCCCCAGTCGTAGTCTTCCGCAGTGTTCCGGCTTCTTCCCGTAGTCTTCCGTAGTCTTCTGGCTTCTTCCAGTAATCTTCCGTAATCTTTCGGCTTCCAGTAGTCTTCCGTAGTCTTCCGGCTTCTTCCCGTAATCTTCTGTAATCTTTCGGCTTCTTCCAGTAGTCTTCCGTAGTCTTCCGGCTTCTTCCCGTCATCTTCCGTAGTCTTCCGTAGTCTTCCGGCTTCTTCCCGTAGTCTTCCGAAATCTTTCAAGCTTCTTCCCGTAAATTTCCGCAATGTTTCGGCTTCTTCCCGTAGTCTTCCGCAATCTTCCGGCTTCTTCTCCTAGTCTTCCGATACTGGTTCGGGACCAAACAACGCGCGTGTCCTGGGCTTTCGGGCTTCTTCCCTGAGGCTTCGGGTAGTCTTCCCCCACCCCTCCGCCCCCCCCCTGTGTCTGTCTATGTCTGTCTACGTATCTGCATCTGTCTTCGTGTCCGCGAAGACCCCCCCTGCCCCTGCGTGTCTGTCTGTGTCTCTTTGTGTCTGTCTGGGTCTGTCTGCGTCTGTCTTCGTGTCCGCGAAGACCCCTTGCGTGTCTGTCTCTGTCTCTTTGTGTCTGTCTGTGTCTGTCTGTGTCTGTCTACGTATCTGCGTCTTTCTTCGTGTCCCCCCCCCCGCGTGTCTTTGTGTCTGTCTGGCTCTGTCTGCGTCTGCCTGCGCATCTGCGTCTGTCTTCGTGTCCGCGAAGACCCTCCCCCCCCGCTGCGTGTCTGTCTGCGTGTCTTTGTGTCTGTCTGTGTCTGTCTACATATCGCGTGCTTTCTCTCGTCCCGGGCCGAAATTCTAAGGTGTGTGGGGGCGGCGGAACCAGGCCGCAGGCCATTAAATACAGGGACCCCTGACAGCCTCCTTTTGGCTGCAATTCAAGGGAGACCTGGGTCTGGTTGTCTAAACACATATTGCCGCTTTCGTGTCAACCCTTCTCGCTTGGGGCTCCCCCGCAAAGTAGCGCAGCCGGCAGTGCATCAGCACCAACATCTCCAAGCGCCTGGCGTGCAATATATTTTTGTCTGGCCGGGAAACCCCCTTGCAAGTGACAACGCAGCCATGGGGATATGCATCTCTGGGTCCATTGAGATGAACATTTAGAGGGTGCTAAAACATCATGTCGGGGGGGGGGGTGATTTCCCTTCGAACCCACTAAAGTCACACCGTCAAGATTGGCCTCCAAATGATTGTTCGCAGGGAAACCACCCCTGGAAATGTTCACTGCAAGGAGACCCAGTATTCGTTCGCTTCGCTGTCTTCTTTTGCCACCTGCCTTTGGTGGCCCTTTGTAAGTATTCCTACCGTCTGGGAGAAATCGTTTTTTTTTGCCACTCCCCCGCACCCCTTCTTGGAGGGGCTGCTCTTTGGGGTTCTTTGCTACCGGGCTCCTCATATTTGCCCGTTACCCCAAGAGGCTGGCACAAGGTTCGAGAATTGGTCCCCAGGGAGTCGGAATGAACACGGAGACAACCAAGGGAAGCCAGGAGCTCCGCTCGGAGTGCAAAAGGCGCGCTCCATGCCATCAAAGCAAACCCACGAACACTGGAAGAAAACCAACGGAAAACGGAAGAAAACCAACGGAAACTGAAGAAAACCAACGGAAACTGAAGAAAACTAACGAAAACTGGAAGAAAACCCACGAAAAAACGGAAGGCAACCAAGCCCAACTTTCCGCCCGTGTGTGTTGATCAACTTGCAATGGCTCGCGAGCGTTGGTTCGAGACGCGGAGTCCCCGCTGCCTTTCGAACCACTGCCGGGCGAAGTGCTCCTGGTCGGTGGTTGCCTCGCACCAACACCCTCCATTCGCTGAAGTCTCCTTGAAAAAACAAACACATTTCCAGTAGTCATAGTTGTCATAGCTGTGTCACATAGTCACGTTTCCGTTCAAACACAAACCGCAAACTCTCTCTTAAGCGAAGGGAAGTCACCCTGGCGGCAGGAAACTATCCCATTTACGAAGCTGAGGCAGTCAAGCACTCCAAAACCTCATTTTTCACAGGCTAGGAGTTGGTCTGGGGAGAAAAAACAAGCTGTGCTGATCAAAGGGTTGGCTCACTTGCGATCGAATGGACCCGGAAAAAAGTACCCCAACTGTTTTGGGGAATGCCATCAAGAATGGTCCAAACACAAGTGACTTTAGTGTCCAGAAACTTCCCACAAATCCCACTGTTTGTTGATTGGCTACAATGGTCCAACCCCGAAAAGTGACTGAAGTCCAACTCAGGGAGTGAACAAACCACAGTCATCCATTGCTTCATGCCCGTGGGGCCCCTCCAAAGGTTGGAGAACAGCGAATTCGCATGATTCGACTGTGGGCAGAAAGTGCTGGCTGGCAGGTTCTCAGAGATTCCAACCCAACCTTGAATCCACAAAAATCAAAAATTGCTTTGTCGTTTTTGAGTTGATACCTCGTGAAATTTTAAAGGGAAGCCAAAAGGAAACCCGGATCCCATTTTAGGGTCCCGGTCCGATTCCTAAAACAAAATCAGCCACCCATTGTTAACTTGCACGAGCTCAGGCCTTTCTTGCAATCCACAGCAAGAAGCGTTCCACGCTTCCCAAAAAGGCTGTGAGTGCAGGTTGCAGGAACGAAGCGCTCTCGATCAAACTGGGGCATGAAAACGGCGGCTCACTTGGGGCAATAGCAGCCCCCAAGTGAGCTGTCGTGTTCATGCCCCAGTTTGATCAAACACGTTTCGTTTCTGCAACCTGTGCTCACAACCGTTGTTGGAAGCCCGGAACGCTTCTTGCTGTGACAAGGCCTTGCAACAAGGTCCGGAACCGAGCTCGACTTTCCAAACCCAGGGTTGAAATTGAACAAAGTTGGGCTAACGTCAGTTTCTGCGCACCCGTAGCGCCATATGAAGAAACTCGGTTCATTTGTTGAGACCCCGTAGAATAGGGGGGACATGAGTGTGCCGCGTTTGGCGCAAACAGTCCCAGTCTCCGATCTCATCACCGAGATGGGTGATAGGAGGCAGCAGCAAACATGTCAAGACTCACGACTCCTCGGGTCTTTTTTTCTTCGAACTGAGTCCGCTAAGTTCCAACCAATTTCAAACTTCGACAGTTTCTCTAAACTCGGGCTGTTGCGATTGGAGAATCTCCGAACTATGGCCCGTTGTCTCCAAACATCTCCAAACTCAGTGAGGGCAGTTTGGAGATACTCCAAACTCAGGCTCGTAATCTCCAAACTCTAGCCTCTAGCCAATTTCCCCCAACTCAACCTGAGTTTGGAGAAACTCAGGCTGAGATTGAAGATTTCCAAATTCGGGTCCGAGTTGCCAAACCCAGGCCCGTTTTCCCCCAACTCAGGCCCATTGGGGCCTGCGTTCACTCTTTAAAGTCAGGCTCCTTTCTCCAAACTCAGCCTTTTTTTCTCTCACTCAGCCCGTTTTCTCCAAACCGTGGATGAACTTGCAGATTCTCTAAACTGAGGCATGTGTTCTCCAAAAACTCAGGCCCAAGTTTCGAGAATCTCGAAAGCCAGGCATGTTTTCTCCAAACTCGGGCCCGAGCTTGGATAATTTTCAATCGCACCGCCCGAGGTTGGAGAAAACGGACCTGAGGTTGGAGATTCTCCAAACTCGAACTGAGTATCGAATTTTGGCAAACTCGGGCCCGAGTTTGGAGAAAAAGGGCTCGAGTTTGGAGATTCTCCAAACTCAGGCCCGTTTTCTCCAAACTCGGGATGAGTTTGGAAATTCTCCAATCTCGGACAGATTTTCTCCAAACTTAGGCCTGCGTTCGGAGATTCTCCAAACTCAGTTCGGAGATTCTCCAAACTCAGTTCGGAGATTCTCCAAACTCAGTTCGGAGATTCTCCAAACTCAGTTTGGAGATGCTCCAAACGCCGGCCCATTTCCTCCAAACTCGGATGCGCTTGGAGATTCTGAGATTCTCCAAGCTCGAAAACGGGCCTGAGTTTGGAGATTCTCCAAACTCGGGCCCGTTTTCTCCAACCTCGGACTGAAATTGGAGATTCTCCAAACTCCAAATTTCAATGTGTTTTTCTCCTGCAGAACGCTTATTTTGCTTGAAAATCTCCATCCGAACGCTTGTTTTCTCCACCAAAACACTTGCCGAACGCTTCTTCGCGTGTTTCACGAAATGAGTTTGGAGAAAACGGGCCTGAGTTTATGGAGATTCTCCGAACTCGGGCCCATTTTCTCCAAACTCGGGGTGAGTTTGGAGATTCTCCAAACTCGGGCCCGTTTTCTCCAAACTCGGGGTGAGTTTGGAGATTCTCCAAACTCGGGCCCGTTTTCTCCAAACTCGGGGTGAGTTTGGAGATTCTCCAAAATTAGGCCCGTTTTCTCCAAACTCTGAGTTTGGAGATTCTCCGAACTCGGGCCCGTTTTCTCCAAACTCGGGGTGAGTTTGGAGACTCGGGCCTGTTTTCTCAAAACTCGGGCTGAGTTTGCGGATTCTTCAAAGTCAGGCTTGTTTTCTGCAAACTCAGGTTCAGTTTAGAAGTTCTCCAACCTCGGGCCCTGTTCCTCCATTTTCCAAACTCGGAGAGCTTCTTGGCTTTGGATTAACCAGGACTGACAAGTCTTCTTCAAACTCAGGCCCTCTTTCTGCAAACTGGGGCCTGCGTTCTCCAAACTCAGTTTTTTTTTGCAAACTCGGCCCGAGCTTGAGATGATTCTCCAAACTCAGGCAGGGCTGTTTTCTCCAAAGTCGGCTTGAGTTTGGATAATCTTCACGCTCAGGCTTTGCAAACTCGCCTGGCTTTGCGTGCGAAGACGCGTTTCGCAAATGTATTGGTGGCGACTATCCGCTTTTCGATGGTTGAACGGGTCAAACAAGGGTTTTGTTTGGTCAATATAGACAAGACTAAGTTCGGCAAATCTCGAAACTCAGGCTGAGTAAAGGCCAACTTTAGGGACCCCCAAATTGATTTCTCAGGGCTGAGTTAGGAGAAAGCGAGCTTAAGTTTGGAGAGCTTGGAACATCTCCAAGCTCAGGCTAAGACGTGGAGAAAAGCAAGCCTAGAATTGGGGCACATTCCAAATTCATCCAAATATTTTTGGAAACCTGAAGGCGAACTTACAAGCGAACATTATCCTCAGAAATCTGCAACTCCCCAAGGAAAAGGGCTGCGCCATCGTGATGTAGTCACTTGCATTACCCTATTCCGGAACACTGCTCGGAGCAAATGGGAGCAGCGCTTCCCGAGACAAGCTTGCTAAGGTATGTCCGCATGTTTTGACAGAGATTTGGAGTCCTTGCTTGGCGTGTGTTTTGCTGGCACAAGGCTTGATTGGCCCGGATAGCATTGAAACGGCATGCTGTGGCAGGGTCCAAGCGGTCTTGGCGTGTGGGGTTACCGGTTGAAAACCTTTGTGTTTTTTGTTGCAAAAACGTACTCTGAGCTGCTTGAGGCACTGGAAGAGTGGTGGTGTGCGCTATTTTTCTGAAACCCTTGGAACGCTTCTGCAAACTATTCCCCGGGACCTCGCGCAAGTTAACACCGCCCATATGGGTTTGTCTCAAAATGGGATCAGAACGGTAGACCTTTGAATTTGGATCCGGTTCTTCTAATTGGTGTCCCTTCAAAACGAACCAAAGGGGGATATCCCCCCAACAAAATCATGGCGGGTGTTCCTTCTGCTTTTCCTTGAACACAACCAACAAGGCGGTACCCAACAAGGGTGTGCCCGCATCGGAATCCAAGAAACCATCCTTATGGGCACGATGGCTTGCTTCTCCGCGCATGCGATTTGCTCATTCTGCAAGTTGCACAGCAAACCAGCCAGCCCAAATAAGCCCCCTCCCCAGTCTGACCCCCCCAACCACTCATCACCCTCCCTTCAACGATAGAATCTAGTCACCTTTGGTTGGCTTTGCGCAGGCGTGCGCGAAGATGAGGCCACAGCAATTGCCGGTTTCAGTGCACCAAACCAATAAGCAATCGTGCAACTCAAAGGCCGAATGCATACGTTTGTGTTGGACCCCTCCCAAATGCTTGTTCCTCTTGGCTTCCGTTTGAATCCAACCTACAAAGTACCCTCCAAAAAAATCAGACCCATATACATTTCCCCATGTCAAAGGGAGTAAGATGAGCGACCGAAAGGCTTCGGACTGCTCGTCTTTCACATTTTCTTGGTGAACGTTCCAGCCTAGGTTATTTGCACTGTTCTTCGTTCATCAAGGGCAAAGAATATAAGATGGTCCCATGACCCAGTTTTGTCAACTGAACCTCCGGTGCTTCCAGTTTAAACTATAGTCAGTAACCAGCGTGTTCTACCTCTAGGTCTTACATGAACTTACATGATGGTTTCCCCTCGTTTCCTATTCCTACTATGGTGGCAACTGGCAGCACTGGGTAACATGTTCAAGTCATTTCAGAAAGGCTACCCTCCCACCAAATTGACATGGAATCTGACCTTTCGGGGGGTGCTGGAAGACCATTTTTGTTTCTTCAGGGACCCCCTGTGTCAGGTTCCATGTTAATTTGGTGAGAGGGTATACCCCTAGGTCTGTGATTCCTATGCTCGGAACTCAACCTCGCCTGCAGCGCCTGGGAAATCGCGGACCTCAGCGTCAGCGTCAGCCGGTTTCTGTTTGAGTTTTCGGGTTGGTTGGAAGGGGCCCAAAAAGGACACCGGATCCCATTTTAGGGGAAACCGCCGTTCTCTCAAAGGCCCAAGCCGAAGCATCCAACTGGTGGTTTCCTAGAAGCCACTACTGGTACCCTCAAAAACAGGAGCCACGCCCATACTGAGAACCAGGCAGTCATTGTACTTAACACAAAAACCGCCACCCCAGTAGAAGCCACTGACCTTACTTTGCTGGACGCGAATAACAAATTGCTGCTGTAGCATCTACTAGCCCTGGCTCCTTCATCCGCCCCTTCACCATGTTCGAATGCTGGCTGAGGGAAATCGACTGCGAAAGGTCAAGCGGGTTATCCGATGTTCCTATTGCACGGTCAGATATGCAGGATCGTTCCCTTTTGCTTTAGTAATCCAGAAGCAAGATTGTGACTAAGTGCTGGGTCTTGGGCCCAAGATTATCTAATATCCGGCAGTCAATGACGCAATAATAACCAATACATATGGCAGGGTCATCAACTGTTTATGCAGGCCTTCCCCTAATCTCCATGAAGCCAGGTAGCAAGCGAAAGCCCTTTAAAATACATGTTGCAGATTCTTTTCCCAGCATCCTATTGTCCGACTAGGGTGCACTTGCATCGTTTTTGCCTGAACCGCTGACCATGGACAATCTTCGACTTGTTCGGGACCCATGAATCGGAAAAGTGGCTGGCCACACATGTTTTTCTCTATTGGTATTTGCCTGGGCCAGGTTTTGAAAGGGTTGGCCGGTGGATTTCGGTTGGCCCGTCTGGTGTCCCCGGCTCTAGCACTAGTCCATCACAGATTTGTCAGCTCAGCTGTCAGCATGCCAGGGTTGAATCCCCTACTGCGGCCACAACTAAAAGGAAACCAAAGGAAACCAAAGGAAACCAAAGCAAACCAAAGCAAACCAAAGAAAACCAAAGGAAACGAAAGGAAACCAAAGGAAACCAAAGGAAACCAAAGGAAACCAAAGCAAACCAAAGCAAACCAAACGAAACTAAGGAAACCAAAGGAAACCAAAGAACACCAAAGGAAACCAAAGGAAACCAAAGGAAACCAAAGGAAACCAAAGGAAACCAGAAATCAACCTCAGCCTTGTGCGTCGATCTTGTTGCGGCCTTTCGCCCACTCGACACCCTTGCCCTGAGCCCAGGGTCTGGGCTGGCGCATGAGATTCAGGACCCGCGCTTGGCCTAAGGCGATGGGTGAAGCAACTCCCCCACAAGGGTGCGGGTATAGTCCTCCTACATGTGCTCCTGATAGTATTAAAATGCGGGTAGAGCCTAGTCTTCCAACTCCATGTCCGCAGTAGTAGAACATATGTTGGAGAAAAGCATGCTGGTTAGATCCTCCTAGAATTAATACATACTTTGGAGAAAGCATGCTTCGTAGGCGACCCAGCTCGGCTCCCTGTGGAAAAAACAAAAACACAAGCTTTCCTTCAAAATGAGATGTGTTCCCTTGGGAACGGTGTTTCATAAGCAAGGTACATTGCCCACCTGCACATGTCAGGGAGTTGGAGTGGGCGGGCTTCTGCACGGGAAGGAAAAGCATCGGAAGAAATCACATCCTGCAGGCGTTCCAGATATGGACCAATGTCGTGTGTTAGCTTTCGCTTCAAACGCCGCTCCAGGGTGTCCATTATTGCTCTGCTTGGCCCTCATCGCAGATCACAACCAAGATTTTACTGGATCTTGTTGCAAAGAAAATGCTTAAGGCGAGTTTTTTCCCCCCCACACCCCCGCCGCCTAGCAAATAGCAACCACACCCCCATTCTCTTCACCCATTGTTCTCTTGAGAAACCACTTACTTTCCATTGAGTTTGGCCCTTTTTTAAAGAAAAGGATCCTAAAGAGAATGTGGAGGGTACGGCTAGAACTATCCAAATCTGTTGATGCTCGCAGCCCTGGACATGATCAAAGGAATGCAACACCCGCAGCGGGGGTGTGGACGAGGCCAAAGCTTGCTGCCTTGCGCACGCTACGTACATCCGAACATCATGCTAGCAGCTCGTGTGGCAGTTACTCAATACATGGCCCTTTCATTGCACTGGCGTCAACTCACATAGCACCTGGAAAATCCTGGATCGTATGCATGTGCATCAAGGCAACAAGAGGTTCTGCATAGTTGAAGGCAATGGCCCCCAACTGGTATGCATCACCTGTACGCCTGTTACTGTTCGGTATCTTTTTTTTTTTTTCCGTTCCCGAAGATCCGGCTAGAGGCAAGATGTGGGTTCTCACGGAAGCATGGGTCAGGGGACACTGGATTTCCCTCTCAAACGGTTCCAAGACAACTGCCACCATTTGGAGGTCCAAAAAAGGGAAAATGGAGGGACGTGGTCCGAGAAAACCTCGTTCTGGTGGCTGTTAACCCCCACCGCAAGGCAGCACTGCAACTCAAATCCGTGTCCCTGCAGCAATCACTTAGCTCCTTGGCCAACATGAAGGATGTTCTTGCGCCATCGCAGCGGACTGCAAACGCAAAAGGTACTCTCAGCTTTGCTGCGCATCAAAAAAAAGGTTGATTTTGGCGCAAATGGGTATGCGTCAAAATAGGGGGCCCCAAAAACTGGGGCTTGCCGTTGGGTTTCCCTCTAAATCAACATCAATGTCCTACAAACACACACACACACACCAATGTGATTGCTAAACCTAAACATGCATACTCATCTCAAACACATCCCAGAAAACGGGTAAAGGCCTTGTTCGGCATATTGGCATATTGTGAGCTTGATTTCGCACATGGCAGTGTCTCTGTTTCACCCGTTTGTGGGGTTTGTGCGAAAGCGAACCCACTGGAAACCAGACACTCAATTCCTGAGTGGATTGGCCAAAGCAAGTCCAAACTTTTTGTTTCTCCCTCAAGTGGTCCAAACCCAAAACGCATAAAGTGCAGGAGCCCGGGCAGTGAGAACATGCTTCGGGGTCACGTTCAAACTTCCCCTCAAGGAAAGATCAATCTCCTGGCGGGTTCCCTTCAAACTGTCACTTTGGGAGCTTCCAAAAAGGGAAATGGACCAAACCCTGAGAACAAAAGGAAGAAAAAACATCGAGTTCCCAGCCATCCCGTTAGTTTTTAGTTTTTTTTCCCCACGAGGTTCAGCGGGAAAGCCAGTTTGGGTGGTGTGTGATGGAAATCTGGGCGCCCCTGGCCATAGAGAAAGCGCAAGCGAGGCGTCCAGCTGAAGGCCTGGCCGGCTCTGCAAAAACCGTCGCGCCCGGAGAAGGGGGCAGTCCTTCTTTGGAGGGCACAACTTGTTGGTTGTTTCTCCGGATTTGTTTTTGGGTTTTAAAGGAAATCCAAACGAAAACCACAATGGTTGGGGTCCGAGCGTTAAAAAGACAGACCCAAATGGCTATGAGTTTCAACTGGGGACCTTTGGTGGACATCGTTTACTCACTTCCTGAGTGGACTGGCCAGAACAAGTCCAAATTTTTGGCTTGCCACTAAAGATTGTCTTCCCTCCCCCCCAAAGACAAAGTCTATGAACTCAGGGAGTGGGTTTACATGTGAAATATCCACCAATCATTTGTGAGGGTGTTCCCAGTAAAATTGCCCTCATAAATGTGTGGTGGACATACATCCCCATGTAAGTGATGTCCACCAAAGGGCCCCAACCAGAACCCAACAAAAACGTGTTTTCTTGGGCTGCCGACATGGGCAAGCCGGCCTGAAAGCGAACATGTATGTTGGCCGCTTTGAGCCGAAAGTCCAATCTAGGGCTCTTGAAAGATTCATCTAAAAGTCACCAAGTGTTTAACTGCCGTTTATGGGAGTGTCCTTTTGTGAGGGTACCCTTTTTGAGGGTTGGTTTCAAGGGCAACCGAAGCTATTTTGGGGGTCCCTATAAAAACCAGCCCCCAAACTTGTATCTCTTCACTCACTTGCCCAGTTTGGACCTGAAAATCAATGGTGATCACCCTTGAGATCTCTACTAGGTCCTCCAGTAGAGAGGTTAGAATAAGGGCACCCTTTTTTCTGTAGTCTATTTTAGTAGGGGAACCCTCCCCCAAAAAAGGGCAAAAGGGCACTACTGGGGGAGCTAGCCTACTACAAACGGGAACCCAACCAGGGAAAACCAAACGATCAAATCCGGTCGATTCGCTGGGGACAACTGAGGTAAGAGACCCCGACTTGGTCAGAACATCCCGCTGTGCGAGGGCATGGATCTGATCTTGCTCAGTGCCAGGCCGGAGAGACACCCAAAACCATCCCGTTTCTCAGAGGATACTTCCCCACAAAATAACATGAAACCTGCAAACAACAACACATGTGTTGGAGGAATCTTATTTTGGGAAATGGATCCCTGCTTTGGGTTACATGTTAGTTTCTAGGGGAGTAGCTCCATAACCTTGTGCGGTACCTGCTCATGGCGTTCGCTCCGTGAGCTCCAAACCCATGGCGGAGTTGGATGCGTGTCACAAGTCTTGACGGGAGGCCTCCCGAATCTTGTTTCTTCCATGTGCTTAAGCCCCCTGGAAAAAAAAGCACCAAACACATATTTTCAGTGTCTTCCCTTTGCTTAAGCCCCCTGGAAAAAAAAGCACCAAAAACATATTGTCAGTGTCTTCCATTTGCTTCAGCCCCTGGAAAAAAAGCACCAAAAACATATTTTCAGTGTCTTCCATTTGCTTCAGCCCCCTGGAAAAAAAAGCACCAAAACATATTTTCAGTGTCTTCCATTTGCTTCAGCTTCCTGGAACAAAAAGCACAAAAAACATACTTTCAGTGTCTTCCATTTGCTTAAGCCCCCTGGAAAACAAAAACAGCAGCGATAAAATCGCAAAGACAGTAACACGTACTAATTTCATTTCAGCAAATCAAAGCTTTGGTGGCTAAAGGGAAGCCAAACGGATACAACGCTGCCAATTTGCTTGGCCCACAACACCAGGCACGCAGAAAAATGTTCGTAGATTTGCTGACTCACCATATGGACCATATGGGCTTGTCTCAAAAAAGGGGACCCCCAAAAAACTGGGCGGCTCCTTCCCTTTAAATTTGTAAACCAACCCCAAAAAAAATCAAAAACCGCCTGCTCGGACGGAAACACAGCTGAGGCCTCAAGCTTCCGTTGCCAGGGGTCCTGAAAGCAGCTCGCGTCGTCCTAGCATCTGGTTCGAAACCGAGCACTCGAGTCTGTTGAGGGTGCCTCGTTTCGGTCTCTTTAAAAGGCAGACCAGCAAAGGCAATCCACATTTCCTCTTTTTTGGGGGGCAGCCGGCTACCCCTTATTTGGAATTCCCAAATCTCTTCGGTTGTCCTATTGGTTTCATGCCCACCCATTTATGTGGAACTCTTTGCGTGTTCTGACATAAAGCAAAGACACCGCGCTCACTTGAAAGAAGAAGCCCGTCTCTACGGTTTGAGTTTCAGGCGGGGAAGCTAGCGGAACGGCTGCACAATCCAGCATTTTGGCCACACTTTGCAGTGCACAAAGTGTTGATAGTTGTTTTAGTTCGTTGCGTAGGTAAAATGAAGGAAGCCCAGAAGGGCCTATCTAGGTGCAGCAAACGTATGTTTTGGGGGCTGGATGCTGGGCCAAGTTAGCAAGGTGTTGGTGGCCGTTCGGTTCTAAACCTCTCATATGTCCCTGCTCAGTGGAATTAGCCTGGTGGGTTGGCTAACCGCTCAACTTGGCGAATCGAACATCCAAGTCATCGCATTTATGGGATGCCTGGAAGATCCATTTCCTCAGAAGAACCTCCAGGTGCCATGGCAACGTAGGGAAGTGGGAGCCCGAGCTCCTGCAACAGGTAGAGCCGCGTAAAGATGGGCCCAGCACCTTCGGGGCCCCCGAGCGAGCGCGCCGAGCGCTCGGGGCCCCCCGAGGGCTTTGTTTGCTTCTGGACTCCGCGAAGGGCTTTTTGGCGATTTGTTAGCTTATTGGCCTAGTTCTGGTTTATTGGTTTGGATTGGGGAGAAGTATCTATACAACCCATGAATATTGACTGGGTGTAATCCAATAGGGAGAAGTGAGATTCGCAGGCTCAAGCAAGTACCTGGGAGCCCCTGACATTCCTCTGTAAGGTTACGGAAGTTGATAACCTCTAGGGTGGATGTGCCAAGTAGAGCAAGTAAGGAAACACGCAACACCCTCAGTTTTACCGCAATTCCACACCTGGGTGGTGTGTGGTTGGTGTACTTGCAGTTTGGGCATCCGTATATTT